AAAAATGACCAAAGAGTTTCTATATTTTTCCTATTTAAAACTTGACTCTTCTGTAGTTACATCGTGTACTAAGACCGACGGAAAATGAAAAGTTGCGATTTTCTAGGCCGATATGGCTAGGAACTATATTCTCATTCCGGCGTAATAATCGCAATGATATTACTCAGCGCCTGGAAGTAGTCCCCAGCACGCTCCCTGTGTAAGCAGGTGGTTACGTTGGTTATGTTGACGGAAGTTAGCCTATTTTCAGGCGCTGCGTAATATCATTGCGCCTGCTGCACCCATAGTACGGCAGCAAAGTTCCTTAAGTGTAATGATATGAATAGAAACAGTATTCTTCCACCAAACAATGTAGTTCCTCAGAATCAGTTATGGTTCCAACAAAGTGGTTGCCGAGCAACAAACAGAAGTAAACAAAGCTGTATGTTTGTAGTGTAATTTACAACAGCTTCGAACGTGGCTCAACCAATCAGAACCAAGGATAATTTTATTACACCAAAACAGTCATAAATTACTTTTGTGACCATTTTCATTAAATTAATCAGGCTACTTTGAGTGAGTGTGTGAATATTAAAATTTTTAATGTCCATAATTTAATATTACAATATAAAATTATAATTTTATAAATATGAAATAATATAAAATTGTAAATTTAGTCAAGGTGTATTGCACCAAAACATACATGCATTAGTTTTTGTGACCATATTCATGAAATGAATCAGTACACTTTGGAGTATTTAAATTTTTTACGTCCATATTTTTGTATTATAATATACAATTATAATTTTATAAATCTTTAAATAATATAAAATTAGAATATTATTCAAGGTTTCTTGCACCACAGTCACACTGCAGTCTCTCAAACAGTCGTAAATTAGTTTTTGTGACCATTTTCATGAAATTAATTAGACTACTTTGAGTGAATGTGCCAGTATTTCAAATTTGTTTATGTCCATAATTTTATATTATAATATAAAACTATAATTTTAGGTTTAAAAAAATTAGTCAGGCTAATTTGAATGAATGTGTGCATTTTTTTATTTTTAATGTCCATAATTTCATATTGTAATAAAAAATTTTATAAAATTGTCATTTTCTAAATATGAAATAATATAAAATTATAATTGTAGTCTAGGTTTATTGCACCAAAAACATCAATTAGTTTTTGTGACAATTTTCATGAAATTAAACTTTGATTTTAATACTTTGAGTGAATGTTAGAGTATTATAATTGTTTAATGTCCATAATTTTAAAATTGTATCAATATGAAATAGGTGTCTATAAAATTAATGCCAATAATTTTATATTCATGAATTAATTAGGCTGCTTTGAGAATATGTCTATATACTACATCAAAATCATCAATGCAGTTTTTGTTATGATTTGTCCCCTGTACATACATTTGCTGTTGTTTTGTTATTTCATTTGTTTATTGGTCTGTCTCCAGGGCCGGTTCCAGGGCGTCAGATGATGAGTCCCAGCACCCGCAGTAATGACACTCTCAGCGGCGTCTCGTCTCTCGCGCAGAGCAAACACTCGAGCTCTTCACACAGCATCGCCTCTGTGCGTGAACCTCAGAGCTGCACACACTGTCTTCCTGTTTACTTCTCAACAAACTCCTATTAAAGAGTTCAACTAACAGTTTTTAAACATTTCGTTTGGATCCGCCTCAGATGCGAGTCCCCTCCTCTCCCAACCAATCAGTGAACACTGGGATGCCGTGGGAGGCGGAGCCAGTGGCAGAGGAGCCGGGAGTCGGGGAGGATGCCAACGCTGAGAACCTCTATCTCATAGGTAATGTAGTTTACTATTGCGATCTATTGTCTCTTCTTCCATACTACATACTTCTTCACATTCTACACTACCATTCAAATGTTTGGGGTCGGTAAGATTTCGTTTTTTGGATGAAATTAATATTTTTTATTCAGCAAGGACACATTAAATTGATCAAAAGTGACAGTACATATATTATTTTATTTCACATAAATGCTGTTCTTTAGAACTTTCTATGCATCAAAGAATCCTGAAAAAAACATGGTTTCCACAAATATTTGAAGCAGCACAACTGTTTTCAACATTGATAAAATCGGAAATGTTTCTTGAGCAGCAAATCAGCATATTAGAATGATTTCTGACGGATCATGTGACACTGAAGACTGGAGTAATGATGCTGAAAATCACAGAAATAAATTACATCTTAAATATATATTACAATAGAAAACAGTTATTTTAAGTTGTAATAATATTAAAAATTTTTTTTTAGCAATATTGCTGATTTTACGGTATTTTTGTTTAAATAAATGAAGCCTTGATGAGCATAAGAGACTTATTAAACATTAAAAAAAGCTCACTGACCCTAAACTTTTGAACAGTAGTGTATTTTAAAATTTAAATATACATAAAAATACATTTTAAATTTAACAATTAAATCGACAATATACAGCACAGCACATATGCATGTGTGCAGCTGATGTTGATCTTCCTCCTGCAGGGATGGAGCTGTTTGAGGAAGCCCTGCGCAAATGGGAGCTGGCTTTAAACATCAGACACAGAGCTCATTCTTGTGCATCTGGATCACACAGTCTCGGCCCGCAGGGGTCAGAACTCGTGGAGCGTCATTCGGTAAATATCTCTTATTCGTAAACGTCCCTACCCTACAGAATACTGTAGGGATGTCAGGAGCTGCTAAATAAAAACACACCATTTGATTTTCAGCCTGAGCTTCATCATCATCAGTTTGCGAAGAAGCTTGAGTCTCTGCTGCACCGAGCGTATCACCTACAGGAAGACTTCGGCAGCACCATCCCGCCCGAAAGCCTCCTGGCTGACCTGGGTAAGACGCGCACAAACACATGCTGACGTCAGCTGTGAGTGTTTTCAGCTTCCTAAACTAAGCCGTTTGTGTGCAGAGAGTGAAGCAACGCTGATCCTGCCCACACTAGGGAGTTCCCATCGCACCCGAGACGACGATGCCTTAACAGTCACGTCAGACGACTCGTTTTTCTCTGCTGCTGAGGTCAGGACACACACACACACACACACTTAAGGCTGTCGTGTGTGTTTTCTCCTGCATGTATGTGATGTCACTTCCCTCTTTATCTCTGTAGTTGTTTGAGACGTTCTCTCTAGAGGACACGTATCATCCTCTGAAGCCGGCAGCGCTGTATGAAGAAGCCCTGAGTTTAGTGAAGGATGAAGGCGTGGCCTGCAGATCACTGAGGTGCTGCATACTGACAGCTTAAACCCTACATACTGCATACTGACACCCTAAATAAATCCTGCACACTACATACTACTACCACTACCACTTTTGTAGTATTTACATTTTTATTGTCCATAATTTTATATTAAAATAAAAACTTAATGGTTTAACATTTGAAAATGAAGAAAATAAGACATTAAGAAATTAAGTATTTATATAGCATATAATTGTAATTAGTAATTCATAATTAGTAATATAGTAATTCAGTTTCAGTTGCACTGTAAAATAAATGTACTATTATTTTTTTCTTAAATACTCTTTAAGATACATATTTAAAATATATAAAAATATTTTATAATATATTACAGTGAAATATTACAATAGTAGTTTTTTCAGATTTTGTTTAATATTTTAATTTAGCAGCAGTAATAATAATTTTATTTTACAGTATTATTATTATTATTATTATATTGATATATAATCACAATATTTTTTGACCAAATTGAAAAAATTATAATAATTCAGTTTATTCATTATTATTTATTAGTATAAAATATATTATTTATTATTTTTGAAGGTCACACACTTTTTTATCCATGTTTTAATTTAAACTGTAAACCTCTTTTATGCGTCACTTTCATCCAGTTCAAATTTAAATTCAGTTATCACTGTTTTTGATGACAAACTTGAATGAAATCATAAAACACAGAATCCAGAAAAATTAAGACAAAATTTCTGAAAAAATAAAAAGTATTATTATTATTAAAAATATTATTGTGTCAGTAAATTAAATCATTTTTTTAAAGGCTTAAGAATTCAGTTGATTTGATATAATTTTTGATTATTAAAATTTTATTAAAATATAAAAAATGGAATCCAGGAAAATTACGACAAAAAATAAAACAGATTTCATAGGGCCATATTATTAAAATGTTAATAAATGATTAAATTGGTAAAGTTTTTATAGGACCCTAAATATCCTAAACCCTTCACTCCACTCCATTAGCACTGATTCTAAAGTGAGTACGTCTGCACATACAGTACAGATGTCCTCCTCACACATCACTCTCCTCTGGGATTGGAGGATTTCTGTTGTAGCTCAGGGAGCCAGGACTGATGGGAAAACAAACTCTGTGTCGTTTTTGTGCCTCTGTTACAGAACTGAACTTCTGGAGTGTTACAGCGATGAGGACTTCCTCGCCAAACTGCACTGCGTCCGCCAGGCCTTCCAGGTCAGCACACTCTCTCACACATACACACACGCGCGCGCACACACACACACACACACACACACACACAC